GTTTGATGTTCTTTAGCGATATTTTTGTGCGCTATTGAAGCTGTGTTATGTGATTTACTCAAAAGGTCTTCGAATTTTCTCCGCAAAGCTACTTTAGCATTAGACCTAATAGAGTTGCAAACCAACCCGCCCACTATTCTCCTCCAGAGGCGGTTCTCCAAATATTGAGCGCAAAAGTTTTCCTTCGTCTCGCACTTCTTCCACTTGGCGAACATCTGGTTTTGTCCGCTTCGTAGACAAGTGCGTAGTATTCGCAATTCGACGTCGAATACTCGGTGACTGTCCTCTGGTAGTCCGCATACGTCGTGTAGTCGTCTTCGTTTGATGAAGTTCGGAACGACTCGATGTTTTAGCCAGCGGCGGAGAAAGTATATTGACTGTCGAGCTAAGACGATCTTTTGTCCCAGTGACAGCGCTTCTTTTACAAGTCGGAAGTATCTTGCTGGTACATCTTGCAGTAACTCCCACGGCCGACTTTCTATTCATCTTCATCTTCTTCCGAACTTCTCAAATGATATAAGTACAGCTATAAAACGCTGCTTGAGAAGGGCGGGCTTAGAGAATTCGGTAAACGTAGTTCTGAAGAGGGCGATACTGCCGAAACGTCAGCTAGCGCTGTATTGTATTGTGTTTTTATGGAAGTAAATGTATGCTGTTTAAAAACCTCGCGATTGCTGAACAAGAAAACGACACATTCATATTCCAATGCCGAGGTTAAGAGAAAGTCGATCCTGGGAACTATTACAAGATGTACCAGCAAAATACTTTCGACTTGTGAAGGAAGCATTGTCACTAAGACAGAAGATTGTCTTAGCTAGACAGCAAATCAACTTCCTCCGCCACTGTTTTCAACATCGAGTCGTGCCGAAGTTTATAAAACGAAAGCGACTTCACGAGATATGCAGTCAACCAGAGGACAGCCAACAAGTACGAGGCATCGAAATGGAACTACTTCGAGCTGCACTACAAAGCAAGCAGAACGAGATGTTTGCCAGAATGAAGAAATGTGCAACGAAGGAACATTTTTGTGCTTTGTATTTGGAGGATCGCCTTTGGAGGAGGATAGTTGGTGGGTCAATATTGACATGCGATTCTATTAGATCTAATGCCAAAATAACCTTACAACGGAAATTCGAAAACCTTTTGGGTAATTCACACGTCTCAGCTTCAAGAAACAACCGCAAGCGAATTCCTTACGTTTCTGATAATAGTCAAAATGGGGTTGATAATGCACCAAGAAAATCTAGGGTCACCGTGATTGGGGGCATAACAATACCTGAGAATGCGCGCTCGCTATTAGAATTGGGCCCAAGTTTTGCACCATCACAACCCATTTCTAAAACGACCCTGCGTAGGATAGCATGCAACCTTTATGAGCTTCAAGATCGACTCCGCTATCACGCCAAGCAAGAAACATCAAATAGAGATAAAAATCAAGAAGCGGCGACACTACCACCATCTCCTTTCCCAAAAACGTTTTTTAGACAGCAGGACCCTAACGATGGAGTTGACATAAAATTCCGCGCGATTTCGGACGGCGTTCTCAATACCCTTGATCACTACCGCAATAGAAAGTTTATCTCTAACCTTACAGCCGCACAAAAATGTGGCAAGCGGGAAATTAGAGAATTAATAAACTCGAAAACAATAAGATTGTCTGTTAGTGATAAGGGGGGAGAGCTCGTAGTTATCCCTCGCCTGCTGGATGTTGAGATAACAGAGGAACATCTTAGTGATGCTACTCTCTATCGCCCATCCTCTGAAAAGGAATATAAAAGTCAATACCGAAAACTAAACAATCAATGGGTCAGCGTGGCAAAGGCTGCGGATTTAAAATCATCGGTTATTTCGCACTTTAAAATCGATAAACCAACATGTCTCGTCCTATATCTACTTATTAAAACACATAAGTTGGTATCACCTGATGATTATGCGTCAACCAATCCGTCATCATTTAAGGTTAGACCGATCATCAGCTGTGTAGACGGGCCAACAGATAGAATAACCAGGTTTTTAAGCCTGATAATTACCCAGTTGCTTAACCACATTCCAGCTCACCTCACAAACACCCAAATGTTCCTAGAACGTCCATGTAACGCGTCTCCTAATAAAGCGTACGTGATGGAGTCTTTCGACGTTACCGCACTGTACACCAACCTATCGAATGACTCCGCAATGCAAGCCATCTTCGAACTTCTTGTTGAACATGAAGGAAGAATAAATATCCATGGCTTGTCCACTCAGCAGCTAATGGCTCTCTTAAAGGAGTGCCTAAACTGCTCGATTTCCAGATGGTCTGGGAAATATTTCGCGCAAATAAGGGGGTTGGCAATGGGACAGCGATTGGCACCAAGCCTGGCCATTGTGTTTATGTCTAAGATAGAAGCCCCTGTTCTCGATCTCCGGCTACTACTCTACTGCAGATATGTAGATGATTGTTTTGTCGTCTTCTCTATGCAGGAGGAGATGGACAAATGCTTTGAATTATTGAACGAGCAGTCCGAGTACATAAAATTCACCCGGGAGAAACCGAGAGAAAACTGGCTTCCGTTTTTGGACGTCCAAATAAACCTATCAACTAGCGGTTACCTGACAAAGTGGTATCGAAAGCCAAGTAGAAGAACATCTTTGTTCATTTCCTTTCCTCCCACCCTTCACACACAAAGAGGGCGATTGTGAGAAACATGTTTCGAACAGCCACCTCTGTGTGCACTACCAGGGAACTAAAGGAAGAATCGCGCGACTTGGCTCGGCAAACAGCCATCTCCAATGGCTACGAAATAGTAACCCCACGAGATAAGTTTACAGGGAGAACGACGCGCCCACGCGAAACACTTGGCCAAAACAAAATCCCGTTTATGTTGCCTTTTATAAGCGATGAAGTAAGCGCAGCTATAAAACGATGCTTAAGAAGGGCAGGTCTAGAGGAATCGGTAGCGATAGTTGAAATACCACCGACTACTCTACGTCGCCAATTAGTTCGCAACCGCCTGTATGACCGTCTGTGTGAAACAACAAATTGCGTAGTTTGCCCTTACGGCAGGGACGGTGATTGCATGAGTTCAGGTACGATATACCTGATCTCGTGTAACAATTGCGGAGATGAATATATTGGCGAAACGGGCAGACCTTTGTGTATCCGTATAAAAGAACACCTAGATGGCAAACGAAAACTAAGACGAAGCACCCGACTAGGCACGCATAGGATACA